GCCCGAAACGTCAGCTTTCCTGCACCTCTGATGCTGCTTGGCCTGCTGTGTTCATCCAGCTCTACACCTTGTTATCTCTTCTATTGGTCCACCTTCTTTTTCTCCTTTACATGACACCGCAGGAACTCCATTCTAACATTTGACATAAGATTCCAACAAATGAAAAAAAAAGAGAAAGATAGACAGATCAATGTTTTTCATCACTGGGAACCAGAAGAGGTGACTTGGTTGAAGAGTACTTATAATTATGCACACTGCTGAGTTGATTGAAATATCAATAAGTTTGATGTGGACAGGTTGCCACCGCAATGGGGTGGCAAATAATCAGCGCTTTTGACAGGTCACCACTGTGTCTAGACTCCACCAGGAAAGCCAATGAATCTCCTAGCAAATTCAACAAGTCTGCATTTGAAGAATCATGGTATCACAGCATCAAAATCCACCAGCAATATGAAATCTTGTGGCTCCTACACTGCTGGGTCAGCAGTTCATACTCTATTACTCAGTGTTGAAGATTTTCTTCTGCAGGCAAGAAACACGTAGTTACCACCCTTAACCAGCAGCATGCCATCAATAAGATCTGCATTCAAGAAACACAACTCCTAACACAGGAATCCAGGATGTAAAAGAATCAATTAATTGTTAAGTACAAAATTACTTAAAATGAATTAGAATACCTCACTTTTCAAGGTAAATATTTGACTGGAAGCATAATCACAGCGTCTACCTCTATCAGCAAGTGAAACGGGTCATTGTCCACAGAGGACCACAAGCTGTCTGTCATTACAGAGAGATGGCTGGTGGGGAGATAAACCCAAGGATCATCATACTTCTGGCAAAAGGGGTGCGACGGTGAGAAGGCAGGGCCTTCAAGGTGATCTCAGCAGGTACGAGATCTGATGAAAGGTCTAGGCCTGAAACAGACTCTCCTACTCCTCTGATGCTGCTTGACCTGGTGTGTTCCTCCAGCTCCACACTGTATTGACTGACTCCAGCATCTTCAGTTCTTGCTATCGCCATAGAATCTGAACCCATGCTGCTGGTGTCATTGGGCAACTGGCACGTGATGCATAGCTAACTGAGCTAAGTTAACTCTGAAATACAAGTTAAAACATTGTAATTTTTCTCAGTATTATTCGGAAGTATGTCTTCCAAACTGATGTCACCAAAAGGAACTCTACATTGCAAGGTATGCTCCAGAAATTCTGCAGCAGATAACTTGGTCCTGTCTCCCCTGTACTTGTCCACCTTCTATAAGGCTCAAGTCAACAGCTTGATGCAACACTTGCCACTTGTCTGGATGAGTATAACTCCAATAACACCTTGAGAAGCTTGATATCATCCATGGAAAATCAGCCAACTTGATTGGTACTCCATCCACCATTTTAAATATATACACCATTCACCACCAATGCTCAGTAGCAGCAATGATAATCGTCTTTGAGATGCACTGCAACAACTTGCCCAGGCTCCTCCAACAACACCTTCCAAACCCATGATCACTATCCTTTAGAAAGGCTAGGGTAGCAGATGCATGAAAACATAACCACATGCAAGTTCCCTTCCAGGCCACGCACAAACATGACTTTGAACGATATCACTGCTCCATCACCGTACAGTGTCAGAGGCAAAATCATAGAAATCATTGCCTAACAGTAGACAAACACAAGCCTGGAAGAACACTGCGAGCCAGGCAGCATCTGGAGGAAAGGAGCAGTCTTTCTTCAGGAAAGGGTAATTCCCAAAACATTGACTGCTCGTTTCCTCCCAGGTGCTGCTTGGTTTGCTGTGTTCATCCAGGGTCCTGTTTGTCTACCCTGGATTCCAGCATCTGCAGTATTTTTCTCCCTTCCTAACATTGTTGTGGGCATGCGTACATTACAAACGCGACTATACTTCAGAGTACTTCACTGGCTGTAAAGCATTTGAAATCTCTCGTGGTCGCAAAAATTAGTGGTGGAGGGAGTAGCCCAAAGCAGACAGAGATTGTTTGCCTCCTGACACCAAGATCACTTGTTCTAGACATCAAGGTTGCATGCGCCAGATACAATCTGTGCCTATACTAGGTTTGAAGGTCATCTGTGCCAATATACAGCCTGTACTTCGGGGTCTGTGCCAGTACATCACCTCCTTCTTAAATAAGACCTTCCAAACAAGCAGTCACCTAGAAAGAGGACAGCAAGTGTACGTGGGAACATTGCCAAGTGCAAGGTTCCTGTTAAGTCATACACTATCATGACTTGGAAATGGACCATTGTCACTTAGTCACTTGGAACTCACTCCCTAAAAGCACTGTGCATTTATCTTGAGCACATGGTTTGCAGTGTTTCATGAAGGCAGCTCACAACCACCTTCTCAAGGGCAATTAGGAATAAGCAATAAATGCTGGCCAATGTCAGAGTCCCTGGAATAAATAAACATGGACAGCAAGTTTCCCTGTAGTAGAAACATATGAATTTGATTGTTTACGTTTTAACTATACCCCCGTTACTCTCTCCAGCATTCCACGGATGTCTGTATCTTAGTAACTGAAGTGAATTATATGTACACTTATGCTTCATACTCAAGACTTGGCTCTGACAAAGCAAAGAACTTCTGATCTTCCAACTCTATCTACAAAGATCAAGGTGACCTCCACTGGCACCATAAATATATCAGCCACATTTTTAAAAATATGCAGAACCTATTATTATCTGTAGAAAAAGCAATTAAGGAAAACTCCCAACGGCTTCATGGCCCTAGTCTATCATTTCCATAATTCTTCAATGAGTTACAGTCTTCACAAGAACAATCAGTCTCAAAGAGCAACAGATCTCTGTGTTATGCATCTTAATAAGCTTTCTGCACCAAAGCAAGTTCAGGCATCACCTTCTGGCTTGTAAAGCTGGATTTCCTACTTTATAAATCACACGTACAGGAAGAGATGAACAGGAAGAAAGGCAGACGCCAATTGTAGGTCAGCCCTTATTGAAAAGCCCCCAAAGTCATCTCCCAAGTGCTACGGTTGAATCGTGAAGG